TCTCTCTCTCTCTCTCTCTCTCTTCTCTCTTCTCTCTCTTCTCTGTTTCTCTGGATCTCTTCAGTACATATGTCGTATCAATCATATCCAGTGGTATTTACTCAATGTTATACCGTATTTTGCACTTAGTGCGTTACCGGTCTGTGCTTTTAGTGCCCACTGAGGGGTACGCCTCGTCATCGATTTCTATTAATTTCTAACCTGTATTCCATCGTTGCCGATAAGCAGATTGAAGTATAAGAGAAAGTCCGTGAGGGACGTTCGAAGTTAGGTGAGAGGCCGCTTAAACACGTGGCATATATTTTTTTTGTCCAAAAAGTATGTATAAAGTGAAACTTTTGTAATATACATTTTAATATACATTAAACTTTCTACATAAATTACGCATTTTATGAATAATGTATTTATATATTTTTTTAATCTTGCATCGCCAATGTCAAGAAAGAAATTATTAAAAGTAAGATCTTAGAGTATCTTCTTCGTCGTTTTATTTATTTTTGTTACACATAGTTATTTTTTTTTCTTATAATGTAATATAATCTTTTAATTATTAAAATTACACTATTATTATTGTTGATCTATAGAAAAATAGTCGAGAAAGACGTTGGGCAAAACATCATTTTGTTTTCGCTTAATTTAAAATTTATTATCTCTTGTTGATCTGTCATTATGAAAATGACAGATTAATGAAAAATGAAATTATTCGAACGTCGGTTACCGCAGAATCAGTTTTGTCAATTTGCAGCTGTATTTCTTCTGACAGGTCCCGTACAAACTTATCAAGCTTCTCGATAATGCCAATAAAATCAGACATTGAATGACGATAAGAGATTTTGAGACACGATGCAATTTGCTAAACTAACTTGAAGTATTTGTTCGATTTGCTAAAACGATTAATTTAATTTCTATAAGTACGACGAGCGAAAGTTGACCATGCTTTTAATTTATTATGTTTTCTTTTAAAATAGATTTGGATAAATTAATAGAAATGGATTTACTTTAAATCTTTCTACCTTATATATAAGGGAGATATATTACAATATTTTTGTAAATTTAAGTTTTTCCCAAGTTTGTTTTATAGCAAATAAGTATATCGAATTCTTGTTTAATTACTTATTATATGTATAATGAAAACTATTTTCTAAAACGTATATGTCATATTTCAAATTCAATTTATCAAATTTTTAAATCGTTGTGTTATCATTTATGAGATAAATCGTTTATTTCATTCACTTTATCGTTTCCGTAATATTTATAGAAATAATATTCTTTAATATGCAGATAATAATTTAGACTTAGCAATGACCCGTTTTTATTTAAGCATTCTTCTTGGACGAAATAATCGTATTTTGTTCCGAGCTTAGTGTCACGAGAATTAATTTGGCGACATGTCCGAATTATCGTAAAGCAGTACTACTTTTTGTCTACCTTCAAAGATATTCTCCATTTGGGCTGATTTCCGCACGTTGGTCTCTGACCATTTCTCCCATTATTTCTCGTTACCTTTCCGCACGCCTCCGAGCAAACTCCCTGCGTACGCCTCTTTACCTTCACCTTTCGTCCTTGATTTTCTTCCTTTTCTAGAGGGGAAGACATTAATGGGCAACGCATAGACCCGGAAGGACAAGATATATATACTTTTCCATGGAAGTTAAAGGCTCATGAACACTGAAATGGGGATGAAACTGTCTGCTCCGATTCTCCCTCGACGGCCTTTTTTCTTTCATCTTTTTTTTGTTCATGGAGGACACGTCCTCATCAGCTTTATTTCCATAAAGACACGTTACGGAAACCCGCTAATGATTTACAACGCCTTTATGAATATTTAACAATAGAAGGCTATGTTGTTATAATTTACTAATGACGTATTGTAATTTACTAATAACGTGTTGTAATTTACTAATGACTTTTTAATTTTTACTTATTGCAGCTGATATCAATAATAAATATGTGTAGACATTCATAGGATGGAAAGAGAAATTCTCGTCTCTTTTATTTTATTACGCAATAAATTTTTATTTTTTATATGTAGATTATAAATATTTGTGATGTTATTTTGATGTTATTTATATGATATTAGCTGTTATTTATGATTGCTTTAACGAATACAGATTTCAATGAATAATTTATTTGTTTAGGAAGCAAACATTATCAAAATGTTTTAAGTAAATTTAATTAATGCAACTGTTTAATAATTAATTAATAATAATTATGAAAATTATAAAATCATAATTACTAATTACGAAACGAGAGTAAATATAACTCTTTCATTATATCATTTATTTTATTATATATATATATATATATATATCATTTATTTTATTTTGTCAATTATTAATAGATCTTCTTGTAGACTTCTCTGATTTATCTTGTCTTATTTGGAAGTCGGTTTTTTGACTTTTTTTTGTCATGGAAACAAGAGAATTTTTATAGATTTTGTATAGAATATCTTATTCTCGGAATACGGTTTGTCTCCGGAGGCAACAACGTGATTCAATCAATAGGTGCTTTGCTTGTTGCGAAACATGCTCATTCAAGTAACGAGGAAACACGAAGATTCTCCATTTATCAAAGTAAACGAATAAAAGAGAGAATATTCATGGAACGAAGAAAATATAAAAAGTTATGTATACTGTATAGTCTCGCTACATGCTTGCATCAAGCAATATAATATTGAATCTGAATTAATACTGACTTCGAAAGAATTAAGTTCGCTAAGGAAAACATAAAAAAAAGAAATTTTAAAGTTATTTCTAAATAGCATATATGTATATTGTAATATATGTATATATATGTATATCATTGTATTGTTGACGTATTCTAAACACGTTATTGCGATAAATATTATCACATGCCTTTGTGATCGAAAGGAGAAGATACCTGCCCGGTAAGCACGAGATCCAGGTTCGATTCCTGAGATGATATTTTTCGCAAAATAATTACGAATTTTCATGACTGGTTCGTGGTTGGGCTCCGCCGTGATGCACACCCTCCCTTCTTATTCGCGGGTATTTTTAAATTATCCTGAAGCAGACGGAGCGAGGATGTATCATCCTAGCGGAGCGCGGCCGGGATTCGAACCCGCCTGCCTTTTGCATAGCAAGTCTCAGACATTGCCACTCTACTAATGTCAATATATATATATATATTCAAATAACATTCTATATTATATATTTGTTAATTTTATATAATTGTAATATTAAATTCTATTTATTTATATAACTTTATATCACATTAATAATATTTAGTAAAATTTAGAAATATAATAGACATTTATTTTCCGAAGCGAAAGACAACCTACAAAAATGAAGATCTCGAAATAGGGATAGAAACAACGAGCATCAATAAATATAACAGGAATTTTTGTTACGCGTGCAGGTGGACTTTTTTTTATTTACGTTTTGCGTTTTGCGATGCATCTCTGTTTTCGGTGTTCTTTCGCAAAAACATCCTCCCTTTGTTGCCTATCTCACTCCATAACCACCGGATGGTGGCGCGTTAACGTACTATATAAAGCGATGCTTTCAAAAAATGATTCTTACGTACATGGCACGCGTATGTTCACGCACACGCGGCTCCTCTCGAATTTTCCGCGATTCGATATTAAGTCTTCTCTCTCAATTTTTCCGTACACGTTTGAATGGACGTACCGGTGGCGCACAATGGCGCCTGATTGGCCACCCGATACTTACACGCACGTGTGGATTTTTGTCGCGAATCTGTATCGCGTTTCAGACAAGAAGCGCTCGTACATCGTTCGTCAAGGGACATGCAATTTGCGATAATATCGGTCGTGTAAAAACCTTCCGGATGGGATGGGGGTTGCGATTAGCGTTCGCTCCCATAGCTATTTATACGCAATCGGTATTTTGTACTAACACGACAAGTCTCTGTAAAGCCTTTGACAAAGAGAAACGGCGGAAAAAGTGAATATCGTTGTAATTATCTACTTTTCTTTGAAAGCAGCAATAACAACGTACTGTAGAGACGATCTCTCTCTCTCTCTCTCTCTCTCTCTCTCTCTCTTTCTTTCTGTGTAACTCACTATACGTTCGTAGGTTTTCCTCTTTAATAGCTTTGCTGGCATTTGAATAGGAAAAACTTAACTATGAATCAATAAAATAGGTCTAATACATGTTAATGTGTTAGCAAATTAATTGTGTAAACCTTAAAATAAACTTTATTATTATACGTATTATTTTATTTATGTTTTAGCTGATATCTTCGACGAAGTGGACGAGCAAATCAAGAAACACGCTGGTTTGCAAGCAAATTGCGTAGGTGGTGGAAGAATTGAACACGACCCCGACGAGAAGATCATCAAAGTTTATGGATATTCGCAAGTAAGCCCAATATTCCAATTAATTCCTTGCTTAAGGAATTAATTGAGATATTTATTATTTAATCAATTTCGCGCGTCGTTGATTAATTTAACAGACTTAAAAATATTCTTTTTATATAGTTTTCTATTTTTGCGAAAGAGAAACTAAAGATGACCGATTTTTTCCTTATTATTATTTCCTATATATTTCTATTGCATTTTCTAACTTTAATTATTATTTATTATACGAATGTCTCGTTTACATTCTACATTGAGCGCGCATTCTCATTAATCAGAATTATATTTGCATCTGTTGAAATAAGATTGACAACTGGTCAACATGAATGTCCAGCATGAACTGTATTATTGCCTAATGTCAAGTGATGCTTGAAACGTGGAGTACGTGTTGTAATACGTATGATTAACGGCGCATAAACATTTTCATCCCGTACTGTTGCTCGTCATAGATTTCACACCCCACGCAGCATTATATGTCAAACTTTAATAGATTAAATTTGTCCATGCGAGAGAATTCCTGTCTAACGCAAACATAATTGAATAGAAAGTTACGTGCATTTTATCAGTTAGAATTGTACTTGTAAAATAAAGGTTCCTCTCACTAGTTTCTACTTTAAGTGATTTCTCATTATTATATTAATTGGCGTAAACATATAAATGATGGAAGATGTAGTACAGTTGAAATAGCAGGAAAAGAATAAAAACAAGGCATTAACGTCTGTATCGGTTTTTAAATTTAACCCCGCAAGGGATATTCACGAAGTGTCCACAAAAGATGTATATATCTTCAGAAAATACTAGCTCAGAGAAGTTTAACGATATATAGGATGTCTTTTTTTAATCCATCACTATTTTTGTTTAAATAAAAGTTTTTATAAAAAATTAGTTTTTATAAAGGATCTGATTATTCTTTATAAAGATTTTATAAAGAATAATGAGATGAATTGATTTAAGAAAAACACATAGTTGTTTTTTTTTAAATATTGCATATTATGAATTATATAATTTTTATAATTTTTTAAACGTAATTATGTGTCTTTTACACTAATTTATTTATGTGATTATTTTGTGTATAAAAGTATAAAAGTACAATTATAAAAAAGAGTAATTTATTTTATACATATATTTTATATTTCATGTCAAAATGTGCCAAATATACTCGTAAGCTACTGATTTTTTTATAATTTTGCCTTAATACTGTTATATTCAGAATAACTAGGAAAATTATATTAAAAATTATATGATTCCATTGAAGAAAGACGATGACCTCCATCGATGATCTTGAAAGCTGCTCAATGTCAAATCAATCATAAAACCATCCCTCTTAAAACTATAAAGCTTTTGTCTACGACATATTTTTTATTCGACTTTATACTGCAAAAATAAGAGGAGAGATAGATTAAAACGGAACACACTCTATATAACATTGCCGTTTTAAATGAAGAGAAAAATCGGAGATTGAATTTTGAGCGAAATATGGGTCTGTGGAAAATCATGCCATATGTTCCTATAGTGATTTCAGCTATTAGCTTCATTTGTTGTACTTGATACAGCGATATTCCTTGATTCTTTGTCATTTTTTTGAGAAATTATATTATTAAAAAAAACTTGATGGATGCTGAGAGTCCCGTCTGGGATAATCCATATCGGATTAATAAAAATACAAGTACAGTATAACGAAAAAAATTCAGTACGGTTTTAAAAAAATAAAAAAAGACTCGACGTTCAGCGGTAAAATCGTAGTACGTACATTTTGATGTCATATTTTTTATAGACCCGTATTTCAAGAAGATTTTTTTTTCTCTTTTTGGAACGGCAATATTATATATCGTTGTACTTGTTGGTTATTTTATGATTAAATATTTTTCAAAAAATTATATGTCTTTTGAAAGACGTAACATGTTCGAGAATGCCTCTTGTTCGAATGTTTTTAAAAAAAAAACTGTGTTTTTCCTAACAATCAATCAATCGGTCTTAAAACACATATTTTGCATTTATTAACAGGAAATGCAAAAAAACTGTATTATTTTATACCATCCGCTGGGAAATATTTCGAAGCACATAAACGCCATAAACCTTGAAGCTGGTCGATCGACCTCCAAGCGTAAAATTGCAATTGCATTTACGTACACTCGGAAATGTTCATCAAACTTCCGTAACACCGCTGGATTTTATCGGGCCATATTGCCACATTTACGATAATATCTCGCGTAAATAGTATAAAGTCAATTATTATGGGCATGTTGCAAAACTTGGGCGGATCCATAAGTTTTTATTTTTATACAGCATCATTTAATTTTACGATGTGCTAGGCGCGATTAGATCAAGGATTAGATCAAGGATTACGTTTTTCATTTAATTCGAATTCTTTTGCGCAATATTCTTTTAAGTAATATTTTTTGCATTTTTTCTATCCTATAAATTTTATAGAAACTCCGTACTTATTATATTAATATAATTATATCGCACGAATATTTTGTATCTGTGTGAGTTTCATATTGTTAAAATATTTATTCGATAACGATAACGATAAGAATAAAGAGTTTATTTTATTTAAAATGATATTGTTTTAATTTTATGGTTTTTTTGACAAAAACTTTAACGTTAGAGTTATATTAATTGGGTTTAGTGCAAATTTTAATATCGCATTGAGCTTATTATTAAAGAGTTGTATGATTTTAATTTGGTATCAAGTCATAATTTTGCGAAAGTAAGAAGGCTACCGTTATCTCGAGTAAATAAACTTAAGTTGTGCAAGGAGTACGATAGATAACAACGCAAAGTTGCGCGTGTTTCATAAAATATGAACGCTCCAACATGATACTACATATTCATCCTACTCCAGAGGTAATATTTTAGTAGTCATATGGATATCGTTGTAAGAAACGAATGTATTTTAAAACGACGCGAGTGTTTTATATTATTCATTTAAGAATTTAAATTGGAATTCGCGATCCGCCTTGAGAGACGATTAATTCAAATTACGAGAGCGCGTAAGATTGACAAGAAGATATTTTTAAAATGGAAGGTTTAAGGAAGGAATTCGAAGGCATATATTAAAAAACTGAGCCCGGATAGCCGTGCGAGGGATCATTGTAAGTTAAAAAAGAGCCATCCTAAATCCAATGACGCCCGAGGGAGAGCAATTTAACATCACCTTGAGTGTTCTGTTCTTGTATCGTTAGTCACAACGAGCAACGGGCACGTATTTTATTTAGCCAACTTCTTGAAGTTTATTCTCGATCTATTGGAAGGCGACGATTAAAACTTGCGCGAAAAAATATTATATTTAGAAAATTGAAAAGTATCCAACGTTATTTTATTAGTAGCTATCAATCGTCGATATTTCATCCTTCTGCAAATCAAAAATTAAGTAAGATAAAATTAAATAAGAATTAAGTAATTTTATTATATAATCGTGACTTTTGTCAAAATCAACAAAATCTTATATATCAGAAATATGTAGTTTCAAAACGTAGTTTACTAAATGAATTGTGTAATCATTATGAATGAAAAGTCTAGTACATTTATTTTAGGTTTAGTGTTTTTTTTTTGTATTTTTCTTTTAACGTCAGAATCTGTTCACCACTTGCATTTAACTTCCTTTAAAATGCTGCACATTTTATTCGCCAGACTTTTATATAAAAGTCTATGTCCAGCTAAATTCTCATTTTTTTTTTACTTTCTTTTTCTTTCTTTTCTTTTCGCGCATTGCCACAGTCAACTTGACAATGTTACGAAAATGTCAAGCATATCTCATACTGAAAATAACGTAATAGTGAAAATAATACGAAGTCTATTCTCGTAATAATCACTAGTTACGATAGTTTATTATATTGACAGATATATTAACTAAGCATGATAAAATTTTATTGCATAATGATATAACAATATTTCATATTGATTTTGAGAGAACATAACGTGTTTAATTATCTTCGAATATTAATTTACAGGGTTTTGGCAAAGCTGATCATGACGTGTCGGTCGAACTATTAAAGAAAAAATATCCTACCTACAACATCACGTGCTCAAATGAAGGTTACTAACCAGGAATTAAATAATGATGCGATGATGATAATAATTCTTTGACAATTTTTAACTCAATAAATATATACGGGATTGTGCTTTGTATTTATTATTAATAAAATATATGTGTCGAAATGAAATGAAATTAATTAACTAATTGTGTACTAATTATTAAACATCCTATGCGTATGTTTTATGGAATACTATATTATATAACAATGTAAATTAATAAATAAATAAAGATAAGATAAGATGGAAGTCAGTCATTTACATCCTTCCCTGGAGTCATGCCTTGATTAATAATTCATGTAAAATATTTTTTTTATCTCCATTATATCTTTTGAATTAAAATGTATAAATGTCTTCATTTGCTTGAAAGAGTATTTAAAAGTGTCTTATTATTTATTAATCAATAATTTCATATTTTCGATAGATAAAAATGATAAGAAAGAAAATTTCATTTTAGACCACAGTTAAAGATGGGATAAATCAAAGATATTATGAATCATTCAACGGTGTAAGTCAATTGTTCTGTATGCAGTTGTCGGTATTTCAGTAGACTAGTAGAACAGTAATCGGTAACAGGAATGATTGTACTCAATAGCTGAGTCGGAGA